CGATCAGAATAATATATAAACATACACTTTAATGTCATAAATAAAGTTTCTCAAAAAAATCCAAATAGCTCACTTAATTGGTAGTGGCAAATTATACAGAATAATATCATTGTTATTGTTGTTTTTGCAGGTTATGCCTGAATGCTCACATAATAAGCTAGTCTGTGTCTTTTTTGAAAAACAAAAATATTTCTTAATGTTTTGCTCCATTAATCGCCTCTATCATTTATATTTCAACGTAGGATAAAAAGTTAAGCTTCATTATTTCACAAATGAAGAAAGATATTCACAACTGATTCTTGCTCTGTGTCACCAAGACTAATACACGTAATTATACACATAATTCAAAAATTGTAGAATAGATCTTTTGTTTTTCAAGGTAAATTTTATGCAGAAAATCGATCCTAAACCTCCTATAATTGAAATTTATCAAAAACATCGAAATTTTATCGATTATTCTAATTATTTTTAATTACAATCGATTTAATATAATCATGAAGAAGTAGACTATAACGAATGTAAAACATACAAAATTAGATTGCAATTCTATCGCATTTAATCACACTAAATTCATTAAAAATAACCTTTCGCTCAATTTTAAATCGGTTCTAGCAAAAAATAATCATAATAATCGATGAAATTTTGATATTTTTGATTAGTTTTCGATTTTCATCAATGAAAAAAAATCAAATCATTTTTTGCGATTTTTGTAAAGCTACTTTTTACATCAGATTTTGGTAAAAAAAAAGCCTCAATCATTCAGAAGATTATCGACAGCCGGTCTAGGAGAAAACACGACATTATACCACATTGATTATTAGATAACATCTTATAGAAGTTTTCGTTGTTTTACAATATTATGAAGGGTAACGAGCTGAATAGTCCCGAAAATTATAACTCGATAAAATCATTTTTTTCCAATGACCTTATTCAAAATATTGATGACATTTTTTATGATAATTAGTGTTTTATTTATTAATCTTTTTGTTTTGAGTTTTCTTCAAATAACAGCTAAAGCTCATAGATATTATAGTCTCCAAGATGTTCTAAAACAAAATTATAGATCTTTTTCATAAAATTCATGGTATAGATAATCATCTCATTCGTTCCTCTCAACTTACACAAGAAAACTTGAGCGTGAAGAAAGTATAGCTTTAGAAAAATGTATTAATACCTTAAAAATATACTATGAATAAGAAAAAAAAACAATGAATTTTGATTCGAAGTCATTTATTTCTCGTATGCGAAATAATTGATAAAATATATTAGGTGAGAGAACATTTCGAGTAATATCATTGATAGAAATATTCAAGCATATTATTGCTGTTATATAAAACATGCTCTGAAAATATTTTGCTGAAGAAATGTGAAAAACAGTAAAATATTTTAAGAATTCTTATGTCAAAACTCTCTCCCTTCAAAAGAGAATGATGATTGTTTTCGAAAAAAATCTTAAGAAATGTTCAAAAATTAAAGATAGGATCAGTATCTTGATAATATCATTAGTAAAATTGATGTTATTAAGTTGTAATTTTCAGGAATTATAAAACTCATGACTTTCTTTAACATAAAAAAACATCAGAAAACTCTAAAAAATATCACTTCATCTTCGATGTCTGAATTTGTTAGTGTTAATGACTCTTTCATTACTCGTTGCACTAGCATAGCACTGGTATTGTTTCAAGTAAAAAGGAAAAAAAGAGAAAAATAGCCCAGCAAGAAAAAAAAACAGCATACTGTATGTCTATATTTATCATGAAAAAGGTCACCTCTTCATCCTACATAAAAACGTATGCTCAGTGTTTTTTTTGTTTCTTCCTAACGAATGAATCATTATATGCAAATACATACGAAAGAACAAACATAGAACAAAATTAATCTACCTAAATCAATAACAAAGTTTTTAATGAAAGACAAGTATAGAAATAGAAGATTTTCAAGCATACTATATTACTTTAATCTGGTCCCTTTTCTTCTTTATGAAAGAAACAGAATAGTGAATATGAACTTTTGAATTCAACATATTTTAAATGGTATTATTGAGCCTCTCTTTTGACACTTGTCATGCTATTGAGTCCATTGAAACTAGTCAAGTATTGTTTGTTTTATTGAACAAAAAAAAAGAGAACGATCAATTCATAAGTCAACTTTTTCGTGACTTTGGTAAAGATATATATATATATATAGAAAGATGATACATATTCACTTAAGGATTTTATTTTTCTGTATAATTACGTGCTTGAGTCTTGTGTGCGTGAGAGAAAAAAACAAATTGATTTCAGTATCAAGACCAGAGCTAAGTTTTTAATCTCGCTCTTTTGAAAATGAATATAGTGATTTACAGTACTTAGATTTCAAAAAAAAAATTAGAATATATAATCTAATTAGATATTATGGTCCGAATTGCTCGACAACAGCCTCTTGTGCAGTAAGTATATTGCTAATTCGAAGGTCTTCTTTATGATTGTATGGATGTTTTATTTTATCATCTGATTGTTGTCACTATTTACTATTATACTGTGCCTTTCTTGTGTTCAGTTTTTTTTCTCGTCGCTATAGCCTAGTGGAAGTACTCACACTAGAAAATACTACGGATACTCTGAAAAAACTAAGATGCCAAGTGAAATCCTTTTTGCAACGAAATCGAAGATAGTTTCAGAATGGTTACCAACAATCCAGAAAACACTTTTCAAATGTTTCGTTGACTTATTGTAAAACCTCGAATAAGTTTCAATGTTTTTGCAAAATTTCAAAACTCGTTAAGTTTTGTATTGTTTTCGAAACTCTTTCAAGTTTCGTAGCGAGAACGAAACTATCTTTGACTCCATATGGTACCTTTTTTTTCACAATACTCATGAGAACTCGTGAGTTTTGAGTACTCCTCAATAGCACTTGTGCTAGAATCTGAGTACAACAGTTGAATACTCGCCTTATAAAATTGAGTATTTCAGGAGTATTCATGACAGAAGTTTTGTGTACTTTAATGTTTGTTGTTTGTAAAATACTGTAAACCCTGCGTTCTATGCAGCAATATTATACTATATCCATTTTATTTAATTGAAAAACTAATAATATAAAGAAACACCGAATAAAAACAATTATAGAGGATAGAGAGAAATGAGTAATAAATTGCTCATGAAATCAACGTATTAATGATCGATTTTGTTTTATAAAATAAATACAGATGATGTGTGAGAATTTATTATCAGTTAAAAAGTACTAACTGTCATAAGTATCCTTCTTATTCTTCATGGATACAAAAAGCAAATTGTGAGATAGGAAAATAAAAAAAGAAACATTCGAAGAATCTGATCGAATCAGTTCAAAGATTTCAGTTTTCACAAAAATTTTCAGACAATATATAAATATATATGAGCTTGACTCTTGAAGAGTTAACATACGTGATATCAATATACGTATAATATAGATCGTTACAAAAATATAAACAGATATTTTGTACTGATAGTTAGATTTCATGTAATAATATATAAAACTGAATAAATAAAAATTAGTTCACTGTTTTTGATATAACTTCAACCTGAACCAAAAAATGTATATTTATCTAAAAGAATATTTAATCAAACATTTCGAAAATGAAATTGGACGGATTATTGTTGATGCTTAAATAAATATTTGATCTTACTAGATCAATGAACGATTGATAATCAAAGTTATTTTAATATTCTTTAAATGATCATTTATTAAAATACGATGAGTCATTCATTAGAAAAGAATTGAGAATAAAATAGTTTATTTTCATTTAACAATAACATCGTTTATCCATCTTTATTCGATTTGCATACATGCTAGCGCATAAGGGTGAGGACTTTCTGGAGTAAAAGAAAATTATGATGAAATATGTAACTTCTTGAGCACTCGCACAAGTAATTTGCATACTTCTCCTGACAAGTCATGCTTATTAAATGAATATTTTCACTAGGTTAATAACAGTCATCTTCAGTCTTATATCGATCTACCTACAAAATGCTGAATGCAACATTGTTGCTTATAATAGAAAGGGTATATTATTTTTTATCACTGTCATTTTCATCATCATGAACATTTATCTTGTCTATTCATTTAGCCTCGACTTCATTCAGAGCAACACATGTAATGAATACGATAAATGCTAACAGGCGTCGAGCATCGAACACGTGCTATAACAATATTCGAAATCTGGATGAAACAAGTGTCGATTGTGATGGTGTTGCTTGCTCACGTCGGTGGAACACAAATGAAAAGTATGGTGTGGCTTCAGACTGTAAAAATGCGACTTGTGCTACAAGAGTCTGCTTAGGTATGTAAAAGCATGTCTATTAACACAACAATGGATTATAACAATTACACACAGCATAAAAACTATCAAGAATCATTTTTGATTGATTTAACTGAATATATCGATCGATTTTCTCTAAACCAATACTAGCTCATTCCAATTAGACATAGCCTACATATTGCGATCTCTAGTTTCACTATGTCGATGGAAAAAAAATTTTCGAATTGATTGTTAGTAGATTACACCACTATTCTGGTATGGATCATATTTCTTTCTGACCAGTTTCGAGTTGAACTTTGTTAGAATTGTAACTGTACAGATCTCAAACGGATAAGCGATAATACTTGTATGTGACATAATTTAAAATACGTAATTGCTAGACTAGATCTTTATGTCATATCTAATTAAATATAACAAATATTCATAGAAAAATGCAAGAAAATCTTGGCTGCTTGCAAGCGTATTCAAAACAAAATCAGCTCTGCTTCTCAAGTCTTCTATCCGTTCGATGCTAAATATAATAACAGTATCGAACATTATGTTGGATCCTCGATTGCGTTCTCTATCTGTAGTGTTGAACCAGGCACAGCTGCTGATGTTGCAATAATAGTAAGTAATATTATAGCCATATACTGTATTTCAATCGTTCATATACTCACTTATATAGTTAAGAATCATTAGAGAGACTCGAGTTCCATTTGCAGTCAAAGGCGGTGGACATGCAATGAATCCTGGATTCAGTTCAACAACGGGTATTCTTATTGCTATGAGTCGCTTTCGTCAAATAACTTACCATGCGAATAGACGAACAGTAGATTTAGGAGCTGGACTCTTGTGGGATGATGTTTATCAAGTGCTCGATCCATTAAATATTACCGTCGTTGGTGGTCGGGTCACTGGAGTAGGCATTGCTGGACTTATACTTGGTGGTGGTTACAGTTGGAAGTCAAATCAATATGGTCTCAGCATTGACAACGTAATTGAATATGAGGTGAGCACAAAATAATCATCTAAGAAATTCTTTATTTGTTACAAATACAAGATCTTGAAACCTTTTCCAATATAACCATATTATTATCATCACAAATTGTAGATTTTAATAAATTTTTATTTGAGAAGTTCTAGTTTTCAAAAGTAGTTATAATATCATTTCTTTTTTGATATTCGTCTTTCAGCTGATTTCTCCAGTGGCCAAGATTGTTTACGTAAACAAGATGTCGTATCCGGATATCTTCTTTGGCTTAAAGGGTGGATTCAATAATTTTGGCATTGTAACGAAGTTTACCATGCGTGCCGTACCACAAACAAAAGTCTATGGTGGAGTTTTTTTTTACCTTCCGCCTACATTCAATGCGGTGATGCAGGCCTTGGACAATTTTCAAGCAAACAACATAGATCCGAAAGCGCAAATGATTGGATCACTTGTTATCTTGGGTGATCAATATCTCTTCGTGTTCCTCATTTTCTACGATGCCCCAACCGCTCCCTCGGGTACCTTCGCTGATTTCATAAACATTCCACATTTGGGCACTCTTAGTACTCAATCGTATCTTTCGTTTGTGAAGGCTGCACCAATCGACGACATGAGTACTTTACGGTAAATCACTGACATTCATATTTACACCATATGTTGTAGGACAGATCTATTTAGATGGTTTGAACAAAATTTTCTCGTTCTACTAGTTTGAATAAAAATGATTTGTAGCACAGAATTCCACTACCAGATTTTTTCACAAAAAATTATAAGATTATAGTTCAAAGTTCTTTCATCTCTTCTGAAAAATAGAGACTTTAAATAGTTTTTTCTTTTTTGATTATGCAAGTTTGAGAAGACCAATTCGTGACATTGTTTAAGTAAAGAAATCAATAAATTTTCCAATACTATGATTGCAAGTAGCCATATACACACGATGATTAACTAAAATGATTATTTATTCGATAAATCTATGTTTAAGGATGAAATATAACAGTTTCTTGTTTGAATAGGGGTCGTTACAGCACTGTCTCCGTTACACGAATAAGTACCAGGTTATTGCAAGCAATAAACAAAGAACTTTTATATGTCAACTCAACGTTGGGCTCGAAACCAGGGGCATTCTTTGCAATCGCTCTCCAACCATTCATGCCAACTTATTTCAATATGTCACAAGGTGGTGCTTATCCACATGTCGCTTCATCCGCACCACTTCTTCCTATGGACATTCAATTCAACTGGGCATTGCCATCAGATGATGATGTGTTTATTGATAGACTTAAGTCAACAGCCAACGCCATTCTACAAGCAGCAATTGATGATGGCCAAAATGTTGGTGGACCGAAACAGATTCTCTATCCAAATTATGCTCTCGAAGATACACCTCTCGAGCAAATGTACGGCAAAAATGTTCCTAAACTTCGACGCATCCGCAAAACATGGGATCCCAACAACGTCATGTGCCTTTCTGGAGGTTTTAAGTTTTGAAGAAACTTTTGAAAACATAACTTTTATTTTATTCAAACTAATTTGTCTTTCATTTCTTCATATTTAATCACTGACTTTATTTTATTTGAATAAATTATGCTTAAAACAGACTCTATCAAAATTATATGTATGAAAAGCAAGAAGAAATTTTCGCAGAATCATCGAACTTCTCCGATAGAAGTACTTTAATCAATGCTCTAGTTCTTTTATTCTACTTGATCATACTTCAACTAGTTCATGATAATAAAATTTCAGTAAGATTTATTTTACTATGGTATGTTGCCTGGTAGTATTATTGCCTATTAAGTGAGTACTTTGGTGGGTAAGTTTTGACACAAACGAGATCGAGAATTGTGGTTTTCATTATTCAAAGAAGACATCAACATGCATTGAGTCGTATATTATAGGTTTTTTTCTAATATAACTTTTTTAAAACATTTTCAATCAGTCTATTTGACAACGAATTCTCAATTGCCACATGTATATTGGTACTGCAGCTGGAGGATCTACAAAATTCTACAAGTTTTCAGAGATTTAGAATCAATCATGAACAAGTAATAGATATGGTACGCAATGCTTTGAGTGAATTTTTCCTTTTTGATTAACTCTTTCGCACCGACATGATTATTGCTTTTTCATAATATGTGAAAGGTTTCATTTCTTTGCTTGTGGCGACTGTAATAATTCAAAACAACTTTCACTCATGTTTCTCTTATAAATATGAACTATGAACATGTCTTTACCAGTTATAGAAGACTCAACTGCTTTGGTCAAAGTATGGCAGAGATATTCAATTTTTTCTTTAGTAAATGAACTTTTGGGGTACCCTATAATGTGATCAATAGGTGGGTCACATCACCACGAAAGGGTGAGACAAATAACAGGCCACATACTAGGGAAACGTAAAGTACATGGATCTTGATGTCCTCTTTTAAACGATAAAAAAAATGCAGTTCTCGATCTTATTTATATCAAAATTTACCCAACAAAATATTCACTGAATAGACAATAGTAATACTAATCATATATCATAGTAAAATAAGTCTTACCAAAAACATCCTTTTCTCTATTAGATTACATAGACAATTTCTTAAATAATTTTATAAAAAATTAAAATATCTTCATCATTCTTTCTTGGTATGACTTAACTATATTAGTACTATACAGCTTGCATTTATGACAATCAATTCCAACTAAAATACTACCGTATATTTTGAATCTTCTTATTAGAATATGAAGATGATGAAAAGAGTTGAAAATCAAATCAATGAAATATATTGAGAGAAATCTTTTAGTTAATAAAACTTTTAAAATTATTAATCAATTTATAAAAGACTAAAATTTCCGCTTCCATACGTATACGATGATATTGGGTTGGAAAATGCATACAATTTATTATCGTTTGCACTATATTGGATATATGTCGCTTGAAAATAATTAAAATTATAAATAGCAATTACAAACTATGCTTGACTAAATTGTGGAGTGGAATCAAATGATGATGATATTTGAGTTGAATTTGTTGAAAGAAATGCCATTGAAATTCTAAATGAATTCGAATATGATAAACATTTATCTGCTTTTATTTTCCATGTTGTTAAATTTTGATAATTACCACTCGATATTAAATATGATTCAAGTAAATAAATATTACGAGAATCTAAAAGCATTAGACTTTCGGACATAACATCATCTGAGTCTCATGTAGTTTGTTTTTAAATTTAAAAAAAAACTCTTTACTCAGCATCATCCTATAAGATTCCTTTGATTTCCATCGCTTTCCATTCATCAACAATTGTTTGTATTTGTAAAATAGATAAATTTTTTGTTGTAACTCCTAAATCAATATAACCGAAAGTTAACTGTTCAAGATTAGTTAATAATTGAATAATTATTTGTGTATTAGCATGATCAACATGAGAAGATGAAGATATTCCGTCACCAAAAAAACAATCAAATCAAATTGACTGAATGTATGGATGGCTTGAGTTAAATTTCCATTAGCACCTTGAACTAATAATGGCCATCTATAATAAATACCAAGACGTTTAGGAACATTCACAGTTAATGAACATGAATTATTATTTGATCCTGAAGTAAAAAAAAATGCACAGGTATTATCTATTTTTTCTAAATAGTTATAGCTGATTCATTAATCATGTTAGTCTTAGATAATTTTTATTTATTATTACCTCGATTAGTTTTTAGAATAACATTACGAGACATAATACACCAATAATTGCTAAAATTAAGCCTAATTTGGTGAAACCATTTGTGGATATACAGCAACAGCATTCTGAAGCATATCCTATCACGATCATGTCGATCATCTTCGTCATCGGTTGATTCAAATCGAATGGGTTTTCACTGAGAACCATGAATATTAATCGATGATGTTGGAAAAACACGTGGTTAAAATTATAATTTTGAAAAACTACTACTTAACAAAGAAAGAGAATACCTTTATTATTGTTATTTCAATCGATGGTCTAAATTAGTATAGATGTCTTTTAAGCTTTGGTTTTTAGAAATAACCCTAGAGAAAGTACTGAGTTCAGGGTACCCATGTACTGAGAAAGCCTTACCAGGGTACCCAATATGGGTACTCCAAAAATTCTCAGTAATTATACTGATGCAGGAACTCGTTGAGGTACCCATAAAAGTACGCTTACTGAACAAGTACTTGTATGGATACTTTGATCTGTAATTTTACTGAAGAAAGCTTTACAAGGTACCCTATATTTGTCGCGTTCTGTGTAGCGACTATTCATTCACCGTTTTCTTTTTCGCGCACGGCTTCATATAAACAACTGGGCAAAACATAAGAAAGTTATCTATTTTCATACTAATTTTTTTCTAAATTATTTCTTGACTATTTCTTAGTCGAGAAAATGCCGATCTTGATCATAGAATAAGATCGGACTGCCCTGATGTGGTCTACGACCAATTCAAATCGGGTCAGATCCCGACATTATAACTGCTAAGTTTTCGAAATTGAAAAAATTAAATTGAATAAAATCAGAAAAAAATGTGGTAAATTGCTTTGAGAGACAAAAAGTAACAAAGTGGAAGGTCAGGTTCGATCCTGAACATACTGAGACTTCAGTAGCAGGGTACCTAGAAATACTATATAATAGTACCCAATTGAGTATCTGATCAGTACCTTCAAGTACCCAGTTACTAAATATTTTGTAGCAGGGTACCTATCAAAGTATCACGTAAGTACTTGAAAATACCTGCAAGTACTTTGGTACCCAAAAGTTCCTGTGACATACTGGTAACAGGGTACTTTTTCGGGTCCCCTTCACTCAGTACATTCTCTAGGGAATGAGATTTTGCTAACGATGAGTTTTTATTCTCTTTCACAATAAAAACATTATTCAATGAAACCATATTAATAGACAAAAAGCACCAATATACATACATAAAACGATGTTGTAATTGTTTTAGTTTACGTCTATTTTTACTTTAAAAGGAATCTTATATTTTTCTCCCTTAATCAAAGCTGTTTTTTTCTTTTTGCGTCATTAGAGAAAAAAAGGCTGTCAAATCGATAAAAATAACTCTTTTCAAATCTATTTAATGTTATTGTCCTAATCATTTCGATTGAGACACTACTATTAAATCATTTCTACTGCTAAATCACTTCGAGAAATACGACGTTTAAAACTGCAATCTATTTGAAATTTTACACACAGTAAACGAAAGCTGTTTACAAGTTTGATAAGATTATTGATTTTCAAGAACTCAATTTTAAATCACTTCTATCAACTGGAAATATAGATTTCTTTACTAATGGTATGATGATGTAGTAAAGCTTGCTGAAAAAATAACTTTAAGCATGAATTAACTCGAGATTGAAGAAAAATTCTTTGGAAAAAAATGAATCAATAAAAGAAAATGATTAATCTCCTATCTCTATTGAATTAATAACTTGAACAAAGATTTCTTTAAAAAGATATTTCATTCTAATATTAAATTATTGAATCATTAAAAATAGAAGTTCTATCAAGAACAAAACTTTATATCTCTCTTTCATGAGTTGATAAAATTAAATTATGATGTATCGTTAACTAAAGTACTAAGATATACTACATATTAAAACAAGGGGGAAACAGCGTACTTTTGGACTTGAAGTCAATTCAAGTTAATTAAAGTTAATTGAAGTTACTTGATGGATGCTTTACACTACTTGAAGAGTACTTTAAGGTCACTTCAATGATAATTTTCGCTACTTTCCTTTACTTTCGGCTACTTTAGTGATACTTTGAGCTACTTTAAGCTACTTTGAGCTACTTTAAACTACTTTAAACTACTTTGAACTAATTGGAGCTACTTCGGTTACTTTGAACTACTTCAAGAAACTTTGAATTACTTGAAGTTTCAGTGATATGCATCGATAGGTGAATATTCGATGTTATCACATTATCCCTTCCAGTTTGTTGCCGACTATAAACATAATATTGAAAATATCAATGATACAGGGTAAGGGAAAAGCGTATAAAAAGCAGTGGTTTTCTTATATGAAGAAAATAATTAGCATAAATTGTACAGTGGCACTATCATGAATCATAGCATTGATTTTGATGCTAGAAACTTTTGTACTTAAGTTAGTTATTCTCTAAACGGTTAGATTTCAACCAAAGATAATATGTTCTGGTGATCGTACTCTTTCCACCATTTACTATTATTTATGATTGTTGTCAAACAGATATTACTTTACATTTTTGTGTAGGGTAACATAAAAATTTCAGGTACCTTGGACGCTTGGTGACATAAGGAACATGACAGTTTTGTAATTATTATCATGTCATGGAAAGCTTTAGTAGTCTGCCCTACTCTATCCTTGGACAGTCATAATTTGTCCGGATATAATCTGATTGCGCAAATGGCAGTATGCTAGTCATGCTTTGCAAGCATTTCTTGTCGTTGTACATGTAATCTTTTTTTTTTCGTATTGTGCTCATTAAAATATTGATATTACAGGAAGCCCTCTTTTGAAAGAAAATATCTTTTGTTTTATGTTCACAGGATTCGTGTGGCATTTGCTTTCTAGGTTCTGCTCAAAGCACAGGATTCGACAAAACACCGAACCATTGGGGGATTCCTTTCTAAATAGGCTTCGATTATTCTAAAATATGAAACGTACTAATAAGAATTATGACAGTTTCAGCCAGTATTTTGCTGATGCCATTGAGATTTGAATGTCTGTCATATAGATGATTTACCACCAGGCGTATACACTATTTCTGACTTTTTGCTAGGGCTAGCCAATGAGCTGTGAATCGGAAAGAAAAAAATTTGTTGAAGAAGATAAATATTTGGGGGTATCCAAAAGTAGTGAGAGTGACACTTTAATACCTCATAGTAAGCTTGATAAAACTTTCCTTTTATATAGGATGATAGAGAAAAAAATGCTTTTTCATTCTATGCTATTTGATCATTCTTCAGGTGATTTCATAACAATAAAGTTCTAATAAAATTAATTTTCGTAGCATGTGCAACGGTTACATGAGTTCAAATCGTCTCGAATATGTATTCTTTTCTTAATCTTCTCTTTATTCTTCTTATTTTTTTAAATATTTTTCTCTCGCCTTTTTCAACTCTTTATCGTTTCTTCATATTACTGGACACAAAAATACAAAATACATAAGCAAGTTCAAGAAGCTTTTATTTCATTAAATGGTCAAAATAATCGCCTTCAAATCTACACACAATTGTATTCATGGAATCCATTTATCAAATGTTTTTTTATACTCTGCTTTATCCAAAGAATACATGAATTCGATTATAGCATAATGCAACGAGTTAGAATCAGTTTGATCACTTAGATTACGTTTGATCAAATCGAATAACCAAAAATCACAGGGTGACAGGTCTGAAGAATTGGGTGGATGTGGTACTATGGTAACTCCTTCTGATTAAAGGTAATCGAAAACATCTCGATGAGCATGTGGTTTTCCGTTATCGTGATGAATTTTTATTGAATGAGTACCAGATAGAGGTCTTTGCTTCTTAACTTCTTCGAAAACAGGTTTCCAACAATTTTCGATGTAATATTCATGGTCAACAGTTTGCCCACGTTCAACACGATGGATTAGAATGGGATCTGTTGATTTAAAGAAAATGCAAAATAAATTTTTCGAAGCAAATTTATCTCATCGCACTATTGTAGGCGGAGGATCTTCTTTTGCCACCCAAGGAGTATTTGAAGCTTTTCGACCAGTTTTCTGATGAAAAAACCATGATTCATCACCTGCTATTACGTCACATAATCGCTATCTTCCATCTTCAAATCTTGATAGAGTTTCTTTGCAAATTCAAACTCGTTCACTCCGTTGAGAATCTGAGTTGTTTTGGTACGTAACGAGCAGTAACTATTCTAAGTTTCAGATGATTGGATAATATTCTATGAGCGGTGCCATAACTTAGACCAGTTTGCTCTTGTAGTTCTTCTATTGTAACATAAGGGTCATTGACGACAATGTTACGAACTTGTTCAATATTTTCAGGAACAATCTCGGTAACAGATCTACCAGATCATTCTTCATCTTGAATATCTTCTCGATCTTCACAAAAGCATTGAGCACATCTTGCAACTGTTCGAAATGAAGGAGCATCATCACCAAAAACAGTCCGTAGTTCATCGTGAATAGCTATTGGTTGAATATTAAGTGCGGTACGCACTTCAATGTAACAACGAAAATTTTCTTTATCGATTGAAAAAATAACATGAAGAGTGTTAAGACTCGACTTAACTTTATTACTTTCATTCTCTATAGAACACAATAGCACACGGCACGTGCACAAAAGGGATATGCGTCTTTGCATACATATGAAGAAACGATAAAGAGTTGGAAAAGAGGAGAGAAAAGTATTAAAAAAATAAGAGGAATAAATAGAAGATTAAGAAAAGAATACATTTTCGAGACGATTTGAACTCATGTAACCGTTGCACAAGCTACGAAAATTAATTTTATTAGAACTTTATTGTTATGAAATCAACTGAAGAATGATCAAATAGCATAGAATGAAAAAGCATTTTTTTCTCTATCATCCAATATAAAAAGCTATTAGCGCAATTCCTTGTGGGATTAAAAATGTGAAACACGATGTAGCTGTTACAACCGGTGTTCTAAAAGCTGCTGATGTTTATGCATACTAATGTATATTTCTTCATAATGCCTTACTTCACATTATATACTTTCAACAGGATAATACTCCAT